CTATCCCAAAACGTGTCTATGAGATGTAAACAATAGGATTTGATTGATGTCATTAAATATGCTTTTACCTATTGAGATAGCAGGGGGTGAAGAGAAGTCTTCTGTGATCATCTTTGACTCCCTTTTGTTGTAAAGATGTTAAGTCAAATAAACTGGTCTTTATTTAACCTAATTTTCTGTGTTTGGCCTCATTATTCCATGGCTGAAGATAAAACTGAGATGCATTGCTTTGTAAGGGAAGGAAGATACCATTATCTAATGGAATACACAGGGCTTTTTGTAACTTCATTATTATTAAGATATTACAATATCAGTGTCAACTTCTAATAAAATTATATCCTTAAAAAGAGTTTTGAAGATCAACACATCAAAGCATATTATTACACAACAATTAAGCGTACAAATGCACTGGACATAATTAATTTCAGCAGCACTAATAAGACATGCAGAATTATATCTGTTATGCGGGTTCCTGAAGAATTTTGTGAGTACAATTCCACAAGAGCAATGAGTTCAATGTTAAGCAACATTCTTCACACAAAAAACAGGAACTTCCATCTGCATCCATTCAGCTTTGACTCATTTCCACAAAGTAGAGTCGTAAAACTTTAGTGTGTGGGCATTTTTAAAAACAAATAACTTTTCAAGAACTATTCATCTATTTTAGTTGTATGTAAAATGTTCATAACTTTGATAAAAAAATAAACATGGTAAACCAAATTTGTTTGTGTAGGGATGGCCTACATTATTGTCTAAAAACATTGTTTTGAAATATATCAAGAAAGTGCTCAGCTTTTGTACAAGGGCCCAAATGGTTGTTCATTGTTTGCTGATATTCTGTGCCATGATAAGAGCTTGCAATTTCTTGTCTGGTTGAAAGAATTGATTTGTAATCCAGTTCACATTCAGAAAAACCATCGAGGTTTATGATCTAACATCACATGAAGTTATCTAAAGGACTACTGCCTCCCACAAGCTTGGTGGCTAATCAAAAATGCTTGCGTTCAACAAACATTTTGTAATGTTGGCTGAAATGTTGCTAAGGACCTTCTCTGTAATCAAAATAACTCAGAGAAGATGTGGAAGTCCCTTCCAAAGAAGTCCTACCTTGCTCACCCTCAAGGCCTTCTTCCAGTTCATGAAGAAATTTCTCCTTAAGCATGCATTCATACTTTCTGTTTTAAAGCTTCTGGTCACCATCTGCTAATCTCTTTTCTATTTTCTCATCTGGTTTTAAACTCAGCATTTTTCTTCTATTGTGGCATAAAAACCTTGAGATTTTTGAACAGAAACATAAGCTGTACATGTTTTAGACCAGTAGTTAGAAAGCAACCATCCAGATGTTTTAGGCTCACAATTCAGATTAAGTTTAGCCAAATAATCAGTGTCTAGGGCAGGCCTGGACAAACTTCGGCCCTCCAGGTGTTTTGGACTTCCACAATTCCTAGCAGCCTACTGGAGGTTTGAAGTTTACCCAGGCCTAGCCTAGGGGTTATAAGGATAACTGACATGGTGTAGGATGTTGGCCTGGATGGCCAATGCATCACCACTCTCTCCATATTACATGGGCCCCTGAATCCTTCAGCAAAACTTTTGTTGCCTAATTTTAAGCTCACCTCCCATGGGAATGGTCCACTCAAAAAGCTTCTATGTCCCATAACAGAATGGAAATCCATCCCATTATTTTAATGTTTTAAATCTCTCTTGGTAAAATAAACAGAACGTAAAACTGTTTATCTTTGGTTGAACCATACAGTAGTCCTGTCAAACATGTCAGTCCTATTGAATTCATACAGTAGGTCTTATTTTTCAGTGAACATATATGACAGGGCTAAAAGCAGCACCATACTTTACTGAATTGGCCCCTTAGCAGGAATGAGGGATTCACAGCCTTGTGGGATATTTTTGTCTACAATTTCCACAATCTTTTACAACTTTTAACGCTCTCTAGGGCATATGAGCCCCCCCCCCCCCGGTGGTGCACCAGGTTAAACCACCGAGCTGCTGAAATTGCTGACTGAATGGTTTGAATCTGGGGAGCGAGGCAAGTTCCTGTTGTTAGGCCCAGCTTCTGCCAACCTAGCAGTTTGAAAACATGAAAATGTGAGTAAATCAATAGGTACCACTTCTGTGGGAAGGTAACTCCATGCAGTCATGCTGGCCACATGACCTTGGAGATATCTACAGACAACACCAGTTCTTTGGCTTAGAAATGGAGATGAGCACCACTCACTAGAGTTGGACACAAGTAGATTTAATATCAGGGGAAACCTTTACCTTTATCTAGAACATATGAGAGTAAAACTTAAAACATTTTATTTTTTCCTTGTTTTATTTAAAGTCTTTCTGTATCGCCTTCCAGCTTTCAAAGGCTCCCAAGATGATGAACAAACAAAAACTAATCAAAACCATGCAAAGATAAAAACATTTCAAAAACACATTAAAATACTCTTTAGAAGCTCCGTACAATCTTAGAATCTGGTTTTGAAATAGTTAAAACAGCAATTTCTAACATCGAAAGACACACAGAACAGCACTGTTTGGGCTGCCTGCCAGAAGCTTAAAAGAGATAGGGCCAGCCTAACTTCTTTGGGTAGGAGATCCACAATTGAGGCATCAGCTCCTTGCCCAGCCTACAGATATGTTTTATCATGGTGCACGAGGGGGGGAAAACATATGTTGTGCTTTTTTCCCACTTATTTTGCAGTGAGGGGAAGTGCATGAACATACAGTATTTAATCACTTCTCAGAAAAATACGTTGTCTAATAGGGCTAAAAAAGAATTGAAGATCCTCTACAGGCATTAATTCTACTTGCTATAGCAGAATACTCTCTAAATTATTACAAAATTGAGATATGCTTCTTCCCTGCAGATCTCTTTTCAAAAACAATCATCTGGCATGTCTGTGTCATACATACATGTGAACGCTTTCAAAGAGACACAATTTCTCTTTTCTCAAATAGAAAAAATGTCACTGTTTCACATTACCATAGACCAGTGGTTCTCAACCTGTGGGTTCCTAGGTGTTTTGGCCTACAACTCCCAGAAATCCAAACGGGTTTACCAGCTGTTAGGATTTCTGGGAATTGAAGACCAACAAATCCGGCAACACACAGGTTGAGAACCACTGCCATAGACTAACATTCCGACCAGGCAATATATTGCCAAGCAAAAAAGGCAGGCAGATACCAGCTACAAATTGAAAATTTCCTAACAGTCTGTACATATTGCTTACCAACTGGTATTGGACTGAGCTTAGAAAGTGCAATTTTTCCTAGCAATTCTGAATATTTTATGTGATAGATCTTGATGTCCAATATTTACAAAATGTACAAGGTTTGCATGACTTTTCCCTGAACACTTAATACTTTACTGACACATAATATTATTTTATCTCAATACTTCTTTTGTTGGTTATTATTGCCTCTAAACAATACTTTGCACTTCCTGTGCAATTATATAAGTAACAGATTTGTTAGCAGACATGTACTCAAATACTCAAGTATTTGAGTATTAGGTACCACTTCTGTGGGAAGTATTGAGTATTTGACTGCACCATATTGTTGACAGGTAATAGAATTTCATATTTCTTCTCCACCAAATCAACACAATTTGTAGATACCAACAACACTAAAGCAGGTAAAAAATGGTAAAATTGCAAAACTAAAAGATGAATTTTAAATTCAAAGCTCAATTTTGTATTGAAGTGTTGGCAAAGTACAGACATACCTCAGTTAACAAAGCCTCCTATAAACAATCTTTTCACAAAGTCTAACTGTAAGGTTTTTTAAAAGCATCAGCATTGAGATGTTGGTGAAGGAAGGCTGGAAAAACACAAATTTTCAATGTTGGGTGGCTGAAGTAGGTCTGTAGTAAATAGTGCAATAAAGCTTGAGTAGGGAAAGAGCAGTATACTACTTCAGTCTATGACCAAAATAAATGATTTGATTTGATTTGATTTGATTCTACTCTAGCTGATCCTTCCTTCCTTACAATAGACAAGGTTAAAAACCTTTGGAATCCCGTACTGAGCTACATGAAAAGCAAAACAGAGAGACAAGGGGAGAGTAGATAAATCTCACATCCCAGTGTGTTAGAAAGGCATAGGTCTATATGTTTGCCCACCAAAATGGAAATCAATAGTAAAGTGGAGGCTGGTGAAAGGAAACAATCCTTGGATGCACTTTGGGAGAAGTACTAAAGTGTTCGCAAGAGGATTCCACAAATAATTGTGTTTTCTCCTGCAACGCTTACTTGATCTGGGTATTCCAATTCCCATGGGCATATCTTTAGTGCTGAATAAAACTGCTCTTCTTTTTTGTTGTGTAGGAACCTACCTTATTCTTTCCATATTATGTCTGCTTCTGATACCAAGCTTCTGATTAAAGATGCCATGGTCACGAACACATCTGCTTTAATAACCAAGGCATACCTGTATTAACAAATAGTCTTAGTGTGTACAAGGTGCCAGGATTTACTGGTCAATAAGGACACAGAATTTCCTGAGATGGCCAGATTTAAACATTCAATAATTATAAAGATCAAAAGGCACCAGATCTCATCTGCTTTTGGAAGCTAATCAGGATCAGCCCTAGTAAGTACTTGGATGGGAGACCAGGTATCATAGGCTACATTTCAGAAGGAAAAGCTTGCAAAACTACCTCTTGAATATATGTTGCCCAAGAAAACCCTCTGGAATTTCTAGACGTGTACATAAAGAGAGAGTTTTTGATGGAGATGAAAATTGCTAGAACTAGTTCAGTCATACAAATTGGCATAGCGCCATGATTGTTTGGATTCTCTTTGACGATACATCTATAGGCACCTGCACGACAAATGACTTCATTTTCCCCATGTATCCAAACTTTGACCTCTTCTCTACTCCACTGGCCAGCGGTCCTATTCAGTCCCAATGTGGCCAAGTGGAGTGCTTGAGTCAACTCTGCACACCAAATCATCTAATGCCAACAGGATTAAATGGGGAAACTGCTCCTTCACTTATTAGACAACCATATGAACTGCTTCTCTAACTGTGAACCAAGCAATATATTTCATATTGTAAATTAAAACAATTTCTAAAATTGAGGCTGAGAAGACCTTGTGACAAATCTTTTCTTGTTTCGTTTAAAAAAAACACTACACAAAATATATTTTAAAGTCGAAACATGTCTGCTTTCAGAATTCTTCACTTTGTAACCTGAGTGTAAATAAAGTTTAGCTGCTTGTAAGCAGCTCAGTTTCCTTTCTTTGTGTTATTCTACTTTTCCTGTTCTACCTATTATACAATCCTGTTCATATATGGGTCTTTATGTCTGTGAAATATGATCAAGAAGTAAAATAAAAGTTAACCTAATCCACAAACGCTCATTACGTTAAACCTGTCTGATATGGGTCTTGACCCTTCACCACTGAAGCCAACAATACATCTACATAAATGTTAATTCAGCCTAACAAGCAACACAAATGAAACTGAAGATATGGCTTAGGTAAACCTGTTTATATATAATATCTGCAACTAAAACTATTTTTTAAAAAAAAAATCTCCATTTGCAGTACCCAAATAAAGAACTTCATTAAAATATATACTTCTTTGCAGATAAATCCGGCCACCTAAATGCATAAAATATTCTCTTTTTTAATGTTAAAGTTTCTGACATAGCCAGAATTTAGAGTTTGGATCTTCCTTCTGTCACTAGACACAAAAGTTTAGGCTGCAATGATATACCAACCTACTGGGACTAAGCCCCACATGAAATCATACTGCATAGGATTTTGCACTCTGCCCTTGAACATCGGTGGGAATAAGAGATGACACTGAGACTAAAAATAGGGGAAATGGTTCCAGCCTGGAACTTTCTATTCTGATGCCTCGGAGAAGAATCTGACCCTTCTTGAAAAAGGATACATTTGTTTTAAGACATGAATTCTTGTGAGGAGTTCTCAACCTCTGGGCCTTATTGGGTGTAAATTCTCCTATGTCCCACATTCCGTTTTGTGGGTTACCTTTATGGAGAACAGCCAGAACACAATGTGTCCACGTTATAAGATGAGCCAACAATATAGCAGGCTTATGTGTACAACTAACAGTTCACAAGAGAGAGAAATCAACGAAGAGCCATCTGTTTCACAGAGATCACATTCATCCTTTTCACAGAAGGTACAAGATGATAAACTCTGCATCACTTCAGAGTTGTAACTTCTCACTGCTCTTCTTCCTGTTGTGAAGTGAAGAAAGAATAACATTTAGCATTGCTAGTGACACATTTTTAGTGTTATATAGTTATGTAATGCTCAAGTAAGCCACCACGTGAGCCCAGAATCAGAGATTAGTCTCAAATTGGGGGCCCATCTACACTTCTATATAATGCAGTTGATAGATGTAGATCAGTGATTCCCAACCTTTGGTCCTCCAGGTGTTTTGAACTTCAACTTTCAGTAATCCCAGCCAGCTTAACAGCTGTTAGGAATTGTGGAAGCTGAAGTCCAAAACACCTGGAAGACCAAAATTGGATTATTTCCAATTTTCTATGAAGAATGTACGTCTTTCTCTTAGTTCGTTTTTACTCAGGAAAATGAGAAACAGATTAGCATATATACATGTGAATAAATCAAAGAGTTGATTTTTATGTTTAACAAATCTGCTAAAAATCTTGAGTCAATGTATACACAGGTCAATGGGTTGCAGCCCTTCACCACAGCACATTTTTGGCCTTTTAGAATACTCAGTTGGTAAAACTGGTAGCACTGGCACTTTGGCCCTTTCCCATAATGGCAGATAGTTATTCCTCAGGTCTTTCAGACTGAAGATCAGACTGAGAAGAAGTAGGGTGTTTCTTCCTGTCTCCAGTGAATGTATATTTAATGAAGTGCCACCTCTCCCTCCTTCACATCGTGTTATGATTCAGGAAGAAACAGTATATATAAACAAACATACTTCAGTGCCTTTTCGATTTACTGCAGTTCTTTCCTAAATTAAAGGATACACCATGTACTACAACTGCATATAAGGCTGAAAACAAGATCTATGAAAAATCATTCATACTTACTGGGTTCATAATAATCCACCACCGTTACAGAGGCATCTTGAGTATTTGCTACTTTGAAGTCCCTCACGGCTGGAATATCTACACAAACCTGTGTTGCATTTAACTAGAAAATAAAACAGAAAACATGAGGAGTTCTATGTAGGGGAGGAATCTACTGTAATGCCTTCAACAAACTGTTTAAAAATGAATCCTTCTCTGTATATAAGCATTTTGCAATAACCAGCACCTATATATTCATATAGATGTATACTCTAACAGTATGATCTGTCACGCATCTATATTTCACCAAAATATAGATGGGTGACTTGAATATGTACATAGTGGTAGCTCCACAAACGATGTTGAACTGTAGATTCCACTATCTCTTCCCAGTATAGCAAATTGTGAGGAATGGTGGGCACTGCAGTCCAACAACACTGAGAAGCCACATCATGCCCACTCCTGCATTATATGGCATTGAAACACATGTGATGATAAAACACTGGGAAAACTGTTTCTGCAGTTTGTTTGTTTGTTTAATCTCCTTTTTCCCCAAAGGGGCTCAAGGTAGCTAACAACCACTCTAGTAATAGACATTTTAAAATAAACAATTAAATAGCTCTGTGTGTGTTAGGTTAAATACAATTAATACAATTAAAATGCATTTTCAAACACACCAGTCCCCCCCAAAAATCCCACCCACAATCTCCCCAGCAACATGCCCCTCATCCTTCCACAAATGCCTGCTGATAGATTCAGAGCTGAATTCGGTACTCCCAAACTGCAAATCTGCATTTTCAATGGGAGTGTAACCCCATCTAACACAGGCTGAATTCTTATTCTCATATCAGTCTTTTGACTGACCAGGAGCACTTCTGCTTGTCTGTATTAAGCCTCAATTAGTTTGCCCTCATCCAGTCCATTATGGTAGACAAGCACCGGTTTAGCACAGAAACCACATCCTTGGAATTAGGTGGAAAGAGTAGTACAAGAGTAGGAGTACAAGAGTTGGACGTCATCTACATATAGATGGCACTGCACTCCAAAACTCTGGGTGACCTCTCTCAGTGGTTTCATGTATATGTTGAACAGCATGGAGGACACCAGAGCCCCGTGGGACCCCAGTGGCCAGGGAATCAAACAGGAATCCCCCAGCACCACCTTCTGAGAACATCCTTCCAGGAAGGAACAGAGCCACTGAAAATTGGTATCTCCAAGCCCCATCCAGGAACCTAAATTCAGAAAGATACCATGGCTGAGGGTATCAAAAGTCAATGAAAGGTCCAGGAGAACCAACAGGGACACACTCTTCCTGTCCAGTTCTCTGTGTAGGTCACCCACCAAGGTGACCAAAGCTGTCTCTGTCCCATAACCAGGCCTGAAAGAAGACTGAAATGGATCTGGATAATCACTTCATCCAGTTGATCATATTCGATTGTTTCATTTCATTCTTTCTGTTAATTGTGATGGTTTCAACATAGATTTATGTTATCTTTTGCCAAACTTTAAATTTCTATTTTAAATAAGAAATAATATTTTTAAACAGATATCAGGATGTTAAAAATTCTAAAGTTCAACTAAGATGTTCATTCAAAAGCCTATTTTCCTTGTGTCTTGACTTACAGAATCCAAATATAAATGAACTTTGCCCTCATCTGTCTCCACCTTCTTAATTGGATCGTCTACACACATGAAACTGGGTGACAAAGAAAAACCACTCAACAATCCAACTTCTAAAAGAGCCATGCCACTCCTTGAAGATGAGCCAGTACCCAAATACCTAAAAAAGAGAGTGAGAAGAATATATTCTTAAAAGGAACACATATACATAAGTATTATTTGATAAGTTCTCAATATAAAAAAACCTTCTTTCATGCACAGTACAGTAGATGCCTGCAACTTATTTCATAATACAAACACACAGCTAGGTTACGACAACATGTTTGTGGATTTAACCTTACATGAAGTAACATATGAACATCCTTTTATGAAAGTGAACTTTTCAGAGAGGTGGCAAAAAGGATTTTGGTTGGCAAGGATAGCAAACCACAGCTGCTATCGTGAAATAAAATGTGTCTCTAATCTGTATTTTGAGTGCAAAAGTAATTGAATAAAACTATATTTCTTTTTCTATGTGAGCAATCTTCAAGTGAGGCAAACTCGTTTTTCAAAGCAATGCTCTTCAGTCTGGCAGCCTGGCTGATTAAATACAGATATGGCTTTGAAAGAAATTCTGTACAACTGCTGGCTCACAAGATTAAAAGGAAACAAAACCATCTGTGGGATGAATTGCTGGGCCAAAGTAGCTGCTATTGAAAACAAATAACTGAATTGGAAGTGGATATAATTATGTCTGCACTCTAATTGCAGATGAGAAAAGAGCTCTGGACATTACCATAAAGCATAATACTTTTCTAGGGGAAAAAAACACAGAAAGAGAGAGCCAACGTGGTAATTAAGAGACAAAAGAGGAAGGGGTGTATCAGAATGCTTGGGAAGTTACATAGTCTACCTAAATGGAAACTTTAAACACACACACACACGTAAGGGCCCAATATGATTTGAACATATCCAGTAGTCATAGAATAGTGAATGTCACTTGATTTTTTTTTTAAAAGCACAGAAAATGGAGAGGGTGGCTGGCTGGCACCTCTGGCTGGCTAGCACCCCAGACAGTTCTTCTTAGTCATCAAGCTGATAGGAGACAGTTTGTCAACCTAATGTACTTTTCAGCATTATTTAGGGATAAAATAAGAATGCAGTGCATCTGATTTTCTTGGGAATAGTCAAAATAAATATTTAGTGGTGGCAGCAGTAGTAGTAAAGACATCACGCTGGCAACGAAGATCCGCAAAGATAAAGCAATTGCATTCCCCATAGTAACCTATGGATGTGAGAGCTGGACCATAAGGAAGGCTGAGCAAAGGAAGATAGATGCTTTTGAACTGTGGTGTTGGGGAAAATTCTGAGAGTGCCTTGAACCGCATAAAGATCCAAGCAGTCCATACTTCATGAAATAAAGCCTGACTGCTCACTGGAGGGAAGGATATTAGAGGCAAAGATGGAGTACTTTGGCCACATCATGAGAAGACAGGAAAGCTTAGAGAAGACAATGATGCTGGGGAAAATGGAAGGAAAAAGGAATTGGGGCTGACCAAGGACAAGATGGGTGGATGGTATCCTTGAAGTGACTAGCTTGACTCTGAAGAAGCTGGGGGTGGTGATGGCTGACAGGGAACTCTGGCATGGGCTGGTATATAGTTACTTTATATATGTTAAGTGAGGCAAAGGCATAAGATGGAATATGGCAAATTAAAAATCAATTGAACATGAATGCACAGTAAAATCTGAATGCATAAACCTCAACGGAAGGATAGCACTTGAATAGAATTATTGCATTTGCCTGAATTCACTGGCTAACACACACATCTAAGTATATTTGAAGTGCTGATTTCCCTATCAGCTCTAGTTTTTCAGGTACAGAGCATACGCTATATACCAACCTTCATCTGCTTGCCTATAAGACATCATGATACCCATATCTAAGTAACTAGAGCTGATGCGGACTAGCCAATGTGATTTTCTGAACCAATGCCCCAAATAATCCCAGGAAAAGGCCTAAAAACCAAGACACCCAGAATTTATTTATTTATTTATTTATTTATTTATTTAGGCTGGGCTGTGTTATCACGGAGGTCAAGAGAGATGGTGTCATTCACTATAAGATAACATTGGGTCTTTTAATCAGCTGTTCATATGTCATTCCAAGTGTTGTTTTAGAACCAATCTTTGATCCCTCTGAAATGGCATCAGTAATGTATATATAAGTATCCAAAAAACACCCAAACGTCTCCCATTCAGATGTTACAAAAAATATGTACATACAAAAAAAAAAAGAAATGTGATAGTTCCACATAATTACTTACCTAGTGCAGACATTCAGTGTTAAATGATTAATATCTTTTTTGTCATCCTTCACTATGACATCCAAGTCAAAGGCTTCTTGATCTTGTGCTGATCTACGTCTCCGGCTGGTATGTGAGTTGTCTACATTGTACATAATATTGAGCTAAAAAAGCAAAAGCATTAAAATGGTAATATTAGTGGAGTAAATATGAATGACATAAAGCATATTTGTCAAAACTAAGGCCTGCGGGCCGAATCCAGTCCTCTAAATCATTTTATGTGGCCCTCCAGATGCTAAACTACAGCTTGTGTATTCCTCATCATTAGACATAATGACTAGAGTTGATGGGAGTTGTGATACAGTAACATTTGGAAGACTCCAGTTTGTTCTGTTTAATCAGAATAGTGGGCTCTGAATACAAGGCTTGTCAATATGATTTTTGACTTTAAAATGTCCTTTAACCTTTCCCCAACCTCAATGCCACAAGTGTCATTGGGCTGCAATGCCCATTATCCTCAGTCCACATGGTGGATAATCAAAAGTGGTGCGAGTTGTTGTTCAATAACCTGTGGGGGCCCAAATTGATTAAAACTAAAGAACGCCAACCACTATGTTAAAAAAAATATAGCTGACCTTCTCTATCCACAGATTCATAGATTCAGTGGTCCTTTGAAGGCAACCATAAGGCTGATGTGGTCCTCAATGAAAATGAGTTTGACATTGCATTAAGCAAGAAACTGAAATCAAAAAGATTTCAGCAGAGCTCCACAAATAGGTGAAAATGTTATAGCTCTGGTACATATTTAGTATCAATATCATCATATAACATTTTAAGGCAGTCTAATATGTGGGATAAAATTAATGCCACATCATGTCAGGCAAATTTGGCACAATATCTGATTTTACAGAAGTCACACTAATATTTTCTACAAATCCGAAGACATTTCAGTTCAAAACACTATTTGCTTACTTCGCCAACTTTTCAACCTATTTTGAAGGTTAAAAGAAAAACTAATTCTATGCCTGGGAATATAGAAATACTGCAAATATCGGAGTGGGGGGGGGGGGTTGAAGGGGAAAATTATATATTTTTCCCCAAAATGATTCCCCACATATCTGAGATATATAGAAATGAAATTTCTCAGTATTTCCCTCCCAGAGTCCTTTTTCAGCCTATATGTGTGGATCAATTTCTGTTCACTGCCTTATAGAAAAAGGCCTTCTTGGGTCCAAAACTACCTAGGCAGTGGATAAAACATGGCAAATTGGCTCTATACTCCCTAAAAGTGAGCCAATGTGACCTTTGAACCTCTGCCAATTATCTATGGTGGTCTGAAGTTTTCCCTTTGGATCTCACACGAGAATTTCATTGCAGTATATTTTTCTTTTACGATTTAATTTGTTCTTCTTTGTGTCTCTCACTGATTCGTGTGTTCTTATGTTACTTTTTCACACGTTCAGAGGCCACACATAAAGACATACAGTGCTTGGAAATGTTGTTTTAGACCAGCACTTTCATTATTATAATTTATGTATATGTCTGAGTTGGTTCAACCTCCAGTGAGCTAATAAAACTGAATTATTGTGTTGCGAAATGATGCATGTCTAAAAAATGCGTCACCAACATGAAATGTTTAGAAAACATTTATATGCTTTAGAGCTCTTGGGAATCTCCCAGCCAGCATGGCTGCAGGGAATTCTGGAAAATGTAGTGCAAAATAGTAATATGTACATCAGGTATATAGTAAGAAGCGAATTAAGGAAGAGGTGCCAAAACACAATCATATAAGTACAGATAGATGTCCTTAGACTTTCATTTCAAGAGGTCTGCCCATTGTTGACTTTGCTCTCCAGACAATCATATGAGACACTGACAGAAAGGTAGCTCCCTCTAATGAAGTTGGGGTTTCTCAAGAATGAAGCTCATATGTAAAAAAAAAATCAAATTCATATGTTGAGCCTTTGTTAGAAAGACCACCCAGGTGTACATACTGCACCAACTATTTGAAACATATCCCAGGACACATAACACATGAAAAATAACAGAGATTGCATTATTTTGGCAGATAAACAAACAAGTTGACATAGCTTTTTACCCAGTGAAGGGCAGTGATATATTTTAAAAAATGATCTTGTGCCTAATGCGGGCTATAGTAGTGTTATCATCATCACCACCTAACTACTTCAATAATGCCCTTACATTGTAAACAGGGGCGGCTCAACCCATTAAGCAAAGTAAGCATTTGCAGTATAGTTGATTTTCCCCAGGGACACTCTTGAGGCGCTCTTGGGGGAAAATAGACCTTGACACATGTGAGTTGTAATTACTGGGATGTATAGTTCACCTACAATCAAAGAGCATTCTGAACTCCACCAATGATGGAATTGAACCAAATATGCCACACAGAACTCCCACGATGAACAGAAAATATATATCAGTGATTGGTTGGGGGGGGGGGGGCAAAATACTGTTTGCTTATCAGCTTATCAGTAGGGGCCGCCTCTGATTGTAAAGGAAATCACCAGTGAAATCCATTTCAAGAATAGGAGAATTACTAGAGTAATGTTTTAAAGCTGATCACTTTTGCCTTAGAATTATATCAGGATCATAAGCTAAAACAGCCATTCAAATGCAGATGCAACATTAGACATTCACAGGGGAGGAAAGGAAAAAAGCTTATTCTCTCACTCATTCAATTTATTAAAAGAGAAGCTGGGATACCATTTAAGAAGGGTCCAGGTAATGAACCCTCAGGAATAATACTGATACTTCTTGCTCACTTAAAATTTCTGATTTATTAATAACTAAAAATGGTTGAAAATACTTATACACTAAATATTTGCCGAAGGACTTCATCACACTAGAGCGGGCATGGGCAAACTTTGGCCCTCCAGGTATTTTGGACTTTAACTCCCACAATTCCTAACAGCCTGCCGGCTGTTAGGAATTGTGGGAGTTGAAGTGCAAAATTCCTGGAGGGCCAAAGATTACCACGCCTGGACTAGAGCATCTGTCCACTTGAAATCCAGTTGCTGCCTCTGGCAGAATACTGAAGTTTGTAGTTTTGTGGGGCCCAGGACCTGTCTGGTTGAGCAGTTTAAAACCTCTCCCTTAATTACAAACCCCAAAATTCCACAGAAGGCAGCAACTGGATTTAAAGTGGATAGAAGCCCTAGTGCAGTGGTTCTCAACCTGTTTTGGCCTTCAACTCCCAGAAATCCTAACAGCTGGTAAACTGGCTGGGATTTCTGGGAGTTGTAGGCCAAAACACTTAGGGACCCACAGGTTGAGAACCACTGCTCTAGTGTGATGAGGTCCCAAGACACAAATATTTTTTAAAAAGTGAAAAAGAATTGTTCTATTTGCCTAAATTTGTCTCAAATTTAAAATGTAGTAATTAATGTTGTCAACATTTTATGCATTCCTTCAGAACAAATGTCAATATTCCCAGAGTGGTTTTTTGGTATATCTCATCCGGGAAACTCTGGGAAATGTGTTACATTACAAAGCACTCTTTACCCAATACAATTCAAGGGGCCTTCGGCAAAGTGGAATATTAGAAGCAAACAAAGTTTAGATAAGTTTTTTTCCCTCTTCTATGTTTCTTTTTCTCTTCTCCTACTTGTTATCCCAGTTCCTATTTCTCTTTCCTACCACCTATAGCATAGGACACTCCTAGCACATTAATCTTTCCATACCCAGACATCCCAATTACCTTTTTTCCTCTTTCTTTTAAACACATACTTGTAAATAATATCTTTCTTAATAAAAAAAATATTTGAAAAAAGAAGCAAACAAAGTTATAGCAAACTTACAAATCTTCATTCTCTCTTGGTTTCTCTCTTTAGTTCACCCTCCTTGCTTGCTCAAAAAATTTACTCAAAGCTCCTGTCTTACAAATTCGGAAAGACCACTTTAGACTTCATCATAAGTGACAGAGCTACACTTTTGGACAGAGGTCATTAGAAACTCAAGCCACCAGAAAAGACAAAAGAAGTACAGAGAGATTTACAAGTAGCCTGTCTCCTTGTCCATTGCTATGAAACTGCTCAAAGTTGTATCTGAACTGCAAGTAATTGCTATGCAGTGATGCAAAGCAAGCAAACCCAAGACAACCTATCTTTGCGTGTAGAGGGATAACTACATTTCATTGCCAGGTCAATAAAACGTTTTTTCAGAGTTGCTAGCAAAAATAATAATTAGTTAATTAATTAATATTTTAACTTTGAGATTAAATTAATGCTAAAACTCCAATTTACTATATATGTTTATGACTATAACTTTTAGTCAAACAATTAACTGGGTCAGCTTATCCATGGGTCACTGTAAATTCTATACATTAACTCTTGCTGAGTAAAGAATCATCCCCTTCTCTAAGTAGAGTGGCAAAAGACAGGAGCTTAATCTGTCCCAGAAGAACCTAAAAGAAGTAGTGGCCCCTTTTACTCTCTCTTCCACAGTGCCACTTCTGGCCTTTTTTGAATGCCTGAGAAGGAACAGCTGTCCCCTTGAAGTGGTGCTGGCTCTCACTCCACCCTGAAAGATGGCCCTCAACTTATCCACAGGTCCTATCAAAGTCATAATTTTGATCCCAATACCTGTCCTTGACTTATAGAGGAAGTTGACCTACACACAAGTTTAGCACAGCTGGTAAATCACCAGCTACTATAAGATCTATCAACCGAAAGGTTGCAAGTTCGAAGTCCCGGGTCGGCATGGGCACCCAACTGTCAGCCCAGCTCACTGTTTACCTAAGCTTTAGCTGTAATTAGAGAATTTGGGTCCCGCTAAATGGGGGGGAAGTGTTTTACGACATCATAAAGAAAGAAGATCAGAAAATGCCGAGTGACCAAATGGAAGGAAGAAGTCCTGACGGCTCTTCGTCATAGAAGATGGAGCAACAGCACTCCCTGTGGCTGGACTCAAGCCCAACCTTCCATGGCATCAAAATAGCTGGACACTGAGTTGAAACAACACACCTCCTTCTGTTCAGTCTGTCTGTGTATTGTCTATACAAAGTGGCATTGAATGTTTGCCATGTATGTGTATTGTGATCCACCCTGAGTCCTCTTTGGGGTGAGAAGGGCAGAATATAAAAAAATGTTATTATTTATTATTATTTTCAATACTGTAGTTAAAATTATTAAATTATCCCTTTACA